CCAGCCAGAGACACACAGCCCCTGTCTGGGGGTGGGGTGGAGGTGGGGAGGGGGGCAGGGCTGTGTTGTCCCGGGGATTACTGGCTCAGTTACGAAGCCTCCCCCCATCCCCCGGCTCAGCACCACGGGGCCTATTCCAAAGACAAGGCAGCCGGCAGGCGGGAAACGGGGAAAAAGCATGCTGTCAGGGAGATGGGGAGAGACCACCGGCGTGGTCAGGCTCTTCTCCTCACAGGGCCAGCGCCAAATGCCCAGGAGCTCCCGCAGAGACCTGGCAGATTGGGTAATGACAACCTGGCCACATAATCACGGCGGGCAGCCTCAGAAAGGAAGAGAATCGTCGTCATCAGCACCATAGCTCCTATTTCTTTAAGGCTTGCAAAATGTTCTCCTTACAATGACCCCGCAGAGCACATAGTGCAAAGCTCATTCTTCCTATTTCATGGAGGGAGAAACCAATTCGGGAAGGGCAGCTTGGCTATAGTGGAAATGTTGAATTTTGGAACCAAAAGGCTTGGATTCGAATCCCAACTCAGCTGCCTCTGTGACTTTGAGGAAGTCATTTACCTCCCTTATCCATAAAATTAGGGGGTTGTGGTCAGTCAGTCAATGAGCATTTATTAAGCACTTACTGTGTACAGGCACTGGGCTAAGCACTACAGATATGAAGAAAGGGAGATTAGATAATGTTCAAGGACCCCTCCAGGTCTATAGACCATGACCCTGGGGTCACACAACCAATAAATATCCATGCCAGGACTCCTGACTAATGATTTTTTTCTCCTACAACACGCTGCTTCTATATTATACCAATAAATCACAGAATTCAACTCAGTAAATCTCTAATCCCACTCCCCCTCCCATCCCCAAGTCCTACCCATCAGCATAGAGTCCAGTGGGACTATCTCCTTCCTTTTTCTGGACATTATGCTGACCGAGGATGGTGAGAGCTTTTTTTTAAAGCAACTGCTGTCAACCCCTGTCTTTTTCCACATTAGCAGTTGGTAAGCCGAGCTCCACCCCCTCCCATCTTGCTCCTGGACAGTGGATTGTTTTTTTCATCTAAATGTTAAACTTCATATTTATCTGTGTTTAATTCTATCTGCCCGCACTGAAATCCTGCTCCATCGACTCCTCCTGGGACCAACAACTCAAGATCTGGCAGCTCTTACCAAACTAGAAGGTCTTTGAGTACAGGCCAGAGGTGGCTAGGTTGGTCAGTCCTGAGACAACAGACATACAGACTAAGGGTGAGGAGGCTCATTACCAGAAGCATAGCCACAGGGTGGTGACTTTTTTTGGCCACAGCAAATCATGCAACTATTAAAAGTATACAGGGGCTATGGTTTGTGTTAGTAGAGCAAGGCTGGGGATCTATTCAGATGAAATCATAGATCTTTGGAAAAGCTTCATCTTAGGGGCAGCTAGATGGTGCAGTGGATAGAGCACTGGCCCTGGGAGTCAGGAGGCCCTGAGTTCAAACCTGGCCTCCGACCAAACACTTGACACTTACTACCTGTGTGACCCTGGGCAAGTCACATTAAGTGACTTGGGGGTTAACCCAGTGCCTAGCCAAAACAAAACAAAACAAAAAAACCCCTTCATCTTAGTGGTTTCAGTCCCTCATTCACACCTGTTAAGAGATGTTTTAGACCCTGGTTCTGCCATCCAATGTCTTGGCTTTACCTCAACCTTGTGTCATCTGAAAATCTGATAAGCTTTCCAGGTCTTCATCCAAGTCACGAACAAAATTGTTAAACAAGATAAGGTCAAGGAGAGATCCCTAGGCCACTCTAGAGACATCTTTCCAGATGGATGGCAATCAATTTAGCAATGCTTTTTGGGAACCATTTTTCAATGAACTATGAAACTACATATATCACTCCACTATTACCCAGCCTGAATCCCACCACAAAGACAGAAAAGTTATGACACTTTTTTCAGATGTTTTCTAAAATCTGTAACTGTGCCTACAGCATTTCCTTGATCTAAAATCCAGTCAAAAAAAGCAAGTCAGTTTGCTTTGGCCTGACATGTTCATAGTGAACCCATGCTGTCTCCTAGTGATCACACTATCTACAATCTCACAAACCACTGGCTAGAATTTTGGCCAGAATCAATTTCAACCTTGGAGGTCAGAGGCCACCACTAAGACTTGAGTGTCAGAAAGAGCAATTCAATTAGACACATATTAAGCTTTGTGTGAGGCTACAATCTAGGCACTAAACACTACAAAGATGAAACAAAATACAATGCCTACCCTCAAGGTGTTTGTAATTTCTTTTTTAAAAATTAGACTGCAGCAAAATTTGGGGTTTTGGACACATAAGAATTTCAGCATAATTCCTTTTAAGGCCTGGTCAACAAGGCACAACAGACAGGTAACACTAGAGTGGGAGTCTGAACTCTCAGGTTCTAGTCCTCGTTCTGGCACACTTCATTCAAGTGACTTGCTCAACATTATACAATCTTTGAGCCTCAATTTCCTCATCGGTCAAATAGGATACTGCCTCAAGGGACCATCATATTACAGTGAAACAATGATATGAAAGTATAAGTTGTCACCACAAATGGAAGGGATTGCCATAACAAGTTTATTATTACATAGGCTGCTGCATCTATGTTGGGTCACCTTGGTCACAGCCTTTGTGCTCCAGCACCAACCATCATGACCCCTTTAGTCAGGATGAGACCCCTTCCTCTCCACACATCAAGGCATCCTTCCCCTGATCGTCCCACCTCCTTGACTCATTTAGCAAGTTAAAAAAAAAGCACTATGCTGGGAGCTAGGTGTTATAGATAGATGGATAGATAGATGGATGGGTAGATAGATAGATAGATAGATAGATAGAGATAGATAGATAGATAGATAGATAGATAGATAGATAGAGCCCTAGACCTGGAATCAAGACAACTCAAGTTCAAATCCAGCTTCAGATACTTACTAGCAGTATGACCCTGAGCAAGTCACTGCTGTCTGTCTCAGTTTCCTCATCTGTAAAATGGGGGATATAATAATAGCACTGGCCTCCCAGGGATGTTATGAGCATCAAATGATACAATATTTGTAAAGTGTTTCACAAACCTTTAAGTGCTATATAAATGCTAGCTGTTGTTGTTGTTATCATTATTATTAATTATAGACTTAGCTATGCCACTAACTCACTGAATTAGGCAAGAGACTTTGAGCCTTTCTTTCTCTATAAAAGAACAGTCTTAGACTCAATGATTTCTAAGCTCCTTTTTGGGGCTTACACTATTAATATTATTATTATTTTTATTGCTAATGATAACAACCATCACCGTATAGTTAGATCATGCTTTAATGTTTACAAAGCACTTACATTCATTTTATTTATTTATTTATTTTTACTCACATTTATTCTTATGATTATCCTGTCAGACAGGGACTACAGGTAATACTGTTTCCATTTTACAGATGGGGAAACTTGGGCTTAGAGAGTAAAGCACTTTGCCCATGGTCACCCATCTGAGTGTCAGAAATGAGATTCAAATCCAGATCTCCCCCAACTACAAGTCAAACACATCATACTAGTTGCAGGTCACATTCTGGGGTCTTGTTAATATCCTATGTTCTATGCCTTTAGAGGTAGTAGGGAAAAGTCAGTGAAGAGGGAGTCAAAAGACCTAGGTATGATGGTTTAATAGAGGGACAAATCACTTCATCACAAACAAATACACACACAAAAAAACAGTTTTTCCTTTTTGTAAAATGAGGTAGACTGCATTATACAAATTTTAAGGTTTCTTCCAACCCTAATATTTCATGTTTTATGGTCTCTCCCATTTCTGACATTCCATGACCTAAGGTCACTAATAGTTCTGACCTTTTATGTTCTAAATTTTAGTGAATACCTAACTGTATACTCAGCTTAGGAGAGACTGAAGGAAAGGAAAAGATATCATTGCTGCCCTCAGGAAGCTTAGATTCTAATTAGAGCAACAGGAAAGACACATAGAACAGGGAGATAGTAAAGGCTATCAGCCCACAGAGGAGGGAAAAACCATTGTGGGCTCAGAAGGTCAGAGAAGGTTTCCTAAAGAGGAAAGGCTTGCACCAAGCCTCCAAAGATGAAGATGATTTGGGCAGTTGGGAGCCAAAGAGGACCTCCTGTAGCCACATGGGAAGGCAAGCAGAGACCTTCTACCATTTTGCCCTAACAATCTCTCCTAGGGAATGAGAGGTAGATAGAAAGAGAGAGGGGCTCCTTGCTCTCGGCCACAGCCCACTCCAGGCCCACAGCCATCCCATGCTGGTGACTCCAGAGAGAATGTATATAGGATAAATATGACCATATACTCCAAAGACAAATGAAAAGGTGAGGCTGAAGGAGCTTCCAGTTATAAATACTATAAACCCTAGGGTCCTAAGAACCCTGCTGTAACACACCTCCCGTGGGATGTTTCTCTGTAATTCAAGGAAGCTACCCATAAACACAAGAGAAACATCAGATACACACCATGGGTCATGGTGTAGTTATACCGTGGAAATAACGTGGCATTTGAAATCAGAGGATCTAAGTTCAAACCCCGACAATGCCACGTACACTATGTATGACCTTGGACATATATATATATACATATACCCATATGTATAGTGGGGAGTTTTGACTAGATCACTTTCCTGTTCTAAATCCAATCATCCTTAGGTAGGTGTGACCAGAGAATTGGGATGGTTCAAGGGGACCCCCATTGAAGGTGACTGGGGGAGAAATAGCATAGGAATATGCACAAGAACAGAAACAGTGGGTAGAGGTTACAAATTGGTAAATTTGGGCTTGATGTCAGGGAAAAAACCTTCCCAATCACTAGGGCTCTCCCAGAGAGGAATGGGAGAGGTACTGGGAGGTATCCCCTCATTGAAGGTCTCCAAGGCCGGGGATCATCATCTGATGGGAATGTCATAGTAGGTCTTTAATTGAGCTACCTGGCCACTCCTTCCATCCTTTCCTCCCGCCCTGCCAGGGGCCCCCACTCACCTTCATCCCCACCAAATTGTTGTGGAAGTCCACACGGGCACGCAGGTCCTTGCTGGACTTCTTCCCCAGGAACTCTTTGACAAACTTGTTGCTGTACTTGAGGTTGTCCCCGCAACCCCCCCACTGCCAGGCCTCCCGGTTCTCCAGGTCCGGCGCCTCGTCGCAGGTGCAGCGCTCCAGGCGCCCAGCGCTGCATGCTTTAGCCAGGGCGTGGGTCAGGCCGGCTGAGGAAATGGCATAGAGAAAGGCAGTCTCCTTGAAGCCTACGAAGCAGGGGGACAGAAGGGCAGAGGCCCATGTTAGCAATACTCCCACGCTTACCAGCTGCATGACCAAATCCCCATCAGTGGGCCTTGGTTTGCTCATCTGTAAAATTAGCAGGTTAGACTAGATCCATGGCCCCTAAGAGAGCCCTTCCAGCTCTGACATTCAGGGCTTCTGTCTCATCAGGGTCAAGCAGGATAAGAATTGGGGAAATTATTTCAATATGGAGAGTTGAAGGGACAATCCCCATTGGACTAGAGCTATAGAGTTCTAAACAGTGTTTAGTAGCTGAACAGAGTACAACTTGGAGGAGGGTTAGGAATAGCCAAGAGCCTTCTCAGAAAGTCCTATGCAAAGTCAGGGAAGTTGGCAGGCCTATACTCCCCTATAGCTGGGTGTAAAACCACCTCCACTGTATCATTTCTGCTCCCCTACCCCTAAAACTCCACCCCAAAACTCAATCTTAGATGGAAAAAAAAAGCTGGTAACTCATACTAAAATGTTAGGGACTGATACAGGCTGAATGCTATCTCACCCAGCCTTAGCTCCATACTTATAGGACTGTAGAATGCCAAAGTGGAAGAGGCTTCAGAATAAAGAGTATGAAAACTGAAGGAGGGTAAGTGGTTTTGGCCAAAATAACACAGGTAGCAGAGTCAGGATTCAAATCCAGGCCCTCTTGCTATAAATTCTGTATGTGTATGCACGTATGTGTGTATATGTGTATGTTTGTGCGCCGGGTTTGGAATCAGGAAGACCCAAGTTCAAATCTGGCCTCAGACATATACTAGCTGTGGGACCCTGGGCAAGTCACTTAACTGTTCGCCTCAGTTTCCTCATCCATAAAATGAGCTGGAGAAGGAAATGGCAAACCACTCCAGTGTCCTTTGCCAAGAAAACCCCAAACAGGATTATGAAGAGTTGGACAAGACTGGAAACCACGGAACATGTGTGTGGCATGTGTATGTGTGTGTTTAACCACTCTAGGCAGCATCCCTAGAAACAAGACTAGTAGGGAGAGGTGAGGGGGAGGAAACTTCCTACCACTTCTCAAACCCCACCAGGTTGGCAGCTTGATGAATGCCTCATTTACTTCTTGCTGGCCTCGGTCTGCCCAACCATAAAGTGGGAATATGGCTTCTTTGTTGATATCCACCCAAGGGCTTAAGATAAAAGAAGAGAAACCCTGGGAAGGAGGAGGGGAGAGAAGGGGACACACCATAGGGCAGAGAGAAAGGAAAGGGGAAAAAAGGGGAATGGGGAAGAGGGGGGAAAGCGAGAAGAGAATTCTACTTTGTGCTTAGAGACAGTGAAGAGACAGGCTCTGTTTCCCAGGGCCAGGGCACCAGAACCACCTCCCACCTTCCCCCCCTGTCCCTCTCAGAAGGGGCTGGGTAACACACACTCAGCATGTGTCCAGAGTCATCAGAAACCTAGGCCGGCCTCCCTACCCAGAGAAACCCGAGATGTACCACGGCCTCAAGTTCTCGCTGGGGCGCCTCACAACCAGTCAGCAACTGCTCTTGCCAACCAGCTTGCCCTGCCCCCCCTTCTCCTCCTCCCCCCCACCCCCACTCTCCACCCAGCCACCCGTCCCTCGGCCTAGGACGGCCAGGGGGAGGCAGCATTGTCTAACTTCAGGCGCAGGGTACCACCAGCCGGCCAAAAGACCCTCCTAGGCTAGCAAGAATACTGTAAACAGTAAGTGCGCCCTCCCCTAGAGCAGTGCCTGAAGAATAGAATTCTTTCAAAGGCTGAAGAAACATTTCCTCCCATAACAAGGCAATGCAAGGTCATTACCCCATTTTGCAGAGCAGAAAACTGATGACTTGTGATGTAAAGTGAGAGGCTTAAGGCTAGTAAGCAGGTGAGCAGGAGTATAACCCAGCTCTTCTAAAGACAAGTGCCTTTCCTACCTGAAGTTCTCCCATTCACCCCCTCCCCTTCTATTTCCTCTGCCACCATTATTTGTACAGGACCTTGTTAAAACCCACCTAAAAACATTGCACCCAATAGAAAGACCAGTGGAGTTAGACACAGAACCCAAGTTTGAAACCTGCTTCTGCTCTCCCACTACCTCCATGGCTTTGGCGAAGTCCCTTTTCTTTATTGGGACTCAGTTTATTGCTCTGCAAAATGGGAAGATTGAACTAGATGATCTTTAAGGTTCCCTTCCAATTCTGATAGCCAGTCTTTATGGCTTCTCTCTCCTCCAGCTTAACACACTATTCCACTAGGATTTTTTTTTTCAGCTCAGAGATCTGGTCACATCACTCATGGTCATGAAGGCTCAAAAACCTTTCCAGAGCTCCCCATGGCCTCCCAAGTACCTGTTAAGCTCCTGTGCCTAACAGTCAAGGCTTCCCCCGAGCTGCAGCATCCTACTTTTCCAAACTTCTCACACGACTCTCTTCCCTGAACTCTGAGCTCCAGCCAAAGTAGACAACCCTTTGTCCTCTCTCTCTCTCTCCCCAATTAATCCCCCTATTTCTCACCTCTGCACCAATGCTCAGGCTGTTTCTGAGGCCTAGAATGCCTTGCCTCCATATTTTCACCTGATGAATTTTTATACATCCTTCAAAGCCCCCTCAAACACTCCCTCTTCCAAGAAGCCTTCCTTGATCTAGCACTCCAACCACCATCCCACCCAGTAATGGCATGCCCTACTTCAGCCCTCATACAGACTTACTATTGTAATATATTTTGTAGTTATAGGCATACTGGGGCCATTTTTACATTGGCCCTAGAGCCTATCCCAGGCTTGGCCCATAGAAGGTTCTTCCTAGAAAACATGGAACCCAATCCCCTTATTTTACAAATAAGAAGATAGCTGAGGCCCTGAGCAGAGGAAGGGACTTGCCCCAAAAGGGTAGAGGGAAAACCAGCTCTCTCAGTTATTCAAGGAGGAGAGACCTAAGAATTGGGGGAAGGGATGCACCAACAGGTCTAGGCAGTCCCTGAGGCCCTCACAGAATAGCTCCCCAAACCACCAAGAGGTACCTGAATTCTCTAAGTGAAGCATCATCCTGTTAGCTGAAGCTCTTGACCCTTAACCCAGTGTAGATTTTGGGAGGAGCAGTATGCTTGTAACGAATGGTTAGACTTGGAATAAGGAAAATCTAGTTCTGAAGCCATCCCAGAACCTTACTATCTGTGTGACCCTGGGAAAGTCATTTAACCCCTCAGGAGTCTGTTTCCTCATCTGTAAAGTGAGAGGATTGGACTTTCTAGCTGTAAATCTACAAGCCTTTGATGAATAATCAATAACCCTAAATCAGTCATCCATAATGACTCTGCCAAATGACCTTTAAAGTCTGTGATCAATGTCTTGGAGGTTCAGCTTCAATTCCCCAAATATTTCTTAGACCCTTACTGCAGATAAAATTCTGTGCTGCTGGGGGAGATGCATAGACGTGGTTGATCCTTATCCTCATGGAACTCTCATTCCAGAAGAAGCCAAGACACAAACACGGCTACTATTGCATAATAATATACATTATTATAGTTAAATATATCATGGAGATGTAAAAAAAAAAAGTGCAGCCTAAAGTTGGGACAGTTTCCTGGAGAAGTTGACATTTGAAGTGGGCTTAGTGGATGGGTAAGAATTTCAACAGTCAAAGATAGGAAGGGCTCGAGTACAGTCCAGGAGGCCTGATGCCCACAGTACAACAAGTCTGTGTGGCAGAAACAATATGGCCCTAGGGAGACCTGTTGGCATCTCAGCTGCTGCTTTGCAGCTGTGGAACCTGGAGAAAGACCCTTGTCAAATGAAGGGGCCATACTAAAAGAACCTTCTCTAAGATCCCTCCTAGCTCTAGCCTTCCATCCTTTTTCCTAAGAGTGGGTTGTAATGAGGGACAGCTGGAGAGAACACAAGAGTGTACAAAATGAAGACAATGGGGAAAGTGCACCAATCAGGAAGGGGAGGACTGTCTACCTTTTTACCCATAGTATCAGCCCTGAGGACAGGTAAGCAAAAACTAGAGTGTAAGAGATGGGCAGCAGGTACCCACACACTTGCCACCCTGTTCCCTTGGGTAACTTAGGGCCTGGGTTTATTAGACCAGGCTCCAACCCTAACTGGGTAACTCTGGTTCCGCCAAATACTCCCCCAACATTTCCCTGGAGCATCTTCCCACCCCTTTTGTGCCTGTCTAATCCCCACTCGGCTTTTAAAGGCCACCTCCAACAGGGCCACCTCCTTGGAGAAGACTTCCTTTACTTTGCCCAGTTAGTCTCCAATCTCAGACTTCACCTGTACCTCTCTGATGAACTCTCCTTGAAATATTGCACAGCTACCTGAATGTCACATCCCCCCTACTAAACTGAGTCATAGGAGGCCAGGGAGGCAAGATTCTGTGTCTATATAAACCTCCTGTGTCCCCTTCCCTGAAACACAAAGAGACGTTTGTTAAACTGAAGCATGCAAGGAGAAAGTCTTTTGCCAAAGGCAAGGTGTCTCAGCAGAAAGGAGAAAAATTCCAGGTAAGTAGGACAGGTTTCAGCAAGGCCTAGGGCTAAAGGCCCCATCTTTTAATTTTAACTTCTATCCTCAGTACCTTTCCCCTGTTGCCAGAAACCCTAAGGGACAGATGTATATGAAAGTAGAGAAAACCACTTTCCCCTTATCCATTTGTGCACACATCCCAGATTATCCATTCTATCTCAGGTTCCCTTAGCCTTAGCCTGGCTATGGATGAAGTGTGATTGTGGACTGTGGGGAAAGGGCCCCTTACGTTCCAAATGTCTTCTAACAGGATCAGAATTCATAGACCATCAGAGCTGGAAGACACTTCAGAAATCATTACATCAAAGGATTTTTAGCTGAAAGAGACCTTAGAGGCCATTGAATCCAACCCTCTTATTCTGTTGATGAGGAAACTGAGACTCAGTGACTTGGCCAGAGTGACATATCTAATAAGTTTCTGAGGCAGGATATGAAATTCCAAATCTAGTACTCTATCCGCAATACTGAGAAGGAATCAGAAGACCAGAG